ATTGTAGGCTGCATATGTGGTGGATGACTGTAAGTCCGACAAAATTCCAATATTCCATGGGAATCTATCAAAATCTATATTGTCATACTTAGCCAATGTATTACGCAATATATTATGGTATATACAGGCCAGATGCTTGCAATGACACTGAGCAATAAGATCCTTGCCACTACAATCACAATGATAAAAATGATTAAATAAATTTTAAAAAATATATTATTTTGATACAAAGTGTGTGATGAATAATATTTAATTTTGTATATTAATTATTGGATATATATGTACCTGCAATAAGAAAATGCCAGAAAAATTGTAAAATAGTTCCTATAGCACTGATATTAGATTTATCTTGTTAAGCTAATCGAATGCTGCGATGATAACTAGCCATTGCCCAACCCATGCTCACAAGTGAGCTGATAATGCTACCTGCTTGATGTACAACTGAAAAAATATAGAAGCTAATTAAGAAAATTATTAAAAATATATGCATACTCATACATAGGCATTTATATAATTGAAATATTATTGAAATAATAGCAAAATATCTGATTTTGTATCACAGACTGTAAACTTGCACATAAATTATTATGACAATAAATTTGCAAATAATAACATTAAAATTGAATGTAAAAATTGAAATTGAAAATTGAAAATATCTAACCCCGCACGCTGTCAATATAGCGGAGGGCAACTATCGCCGTCTGTTGTAAAACGTGCGAGATGGACATTTCCAATACATGCATCTATTCATGTGTTGTGTACGTGTGATATATGTGTGCGCATGTGTTGTATACGTGTGAATACGTGTAGCACGATACTACTATGTTTGCGTGGTCGATGATGATAATAATAATGATGATGACGGGGACGTTTCTTAAAAGAAATTTTTCATATTTCGACTTTGCAATTATATATCTCTGCTTACAAATCACGTAGAGCAGAAATAAAGACACTTTTATTATATAATTCAAACTCAATCTATCGATTAAGTCTAGTATAAACTCGATTGCTTCAGCCGTTATTGAGAATTCGAAATATTATAAAGACTCAAATGTCCGACTCGCGTTAAGATACACGGTGTCTCGGCTACGCCCTTAACTGGTCGCGAGACACTACCGTGTCTCTTGATAATACTGCTGTAAATGAATAGACAACTTTTTTAGATAAATTCTTGGATTTGTGAAAATGCAAATGTATGGACGTTATATTTGAATTGCTTGCTTATTTGATGAATGATAGCAAAAAAGTATATCTCTTTTGGGATGTCGTTAAAATAGCCAATTGACATATAATATATACAATACATCCAAAAAATACTTCTTTTGCTATCATTCATCGAATAAGCAAGCAATTCGAATATATACATAAATATTCATTTAAAAGCATTAATAAATATATAATAGCTTTCCGCGTTAATTTCTGTACTTTGTTAATAGGCAGATATATATATAGGCAGATTTCATGACTGTCGCCATAACAGCTTTTACATTGCAATAATTGGTAGTTTGGCGACAAAGTAGTTTTGGCGACAAAAAATTAATTTCCAATATTTCAACGATATATAGGTATATTTTATGACTGTCGCTATAACAACCTTTATATCACAATGATTTTCGTAGATTGGTAGTTTTGGCGACAAAATAACAAATATATTATTATTGACAATAAATCTCTCTATATTAATCATCAAAAGATATATTTTGTTATATAATGATGAAAACAATAGTGTACGAATAATAACATTAGATATACATACAATTATATAAGTAAAATTAGATTTTTAATATTTCAGTAGTATATAGGTAGATTTCGCAACTGTCGTCATAATTGTCTTTATACCGCAATAGTTTTGACGACGGTCGCCAAAACAACCAAATGTCGTCAAAACTGCCCGTTCTTATAAGAAAAAGTCATGGAAACTGCCCCTGGATATATATATATATATATATATATATATATATAATAAAAATAAAAATAAAAATAAAATTTGTCTAGTCTTTTCTCAAATAATTTAATATAATAACACAAGATTACAATTACACACAAAGGCCTCTTTTGGATATTATTATTTCTTACATATATAAAGTAAACACAAGAATAACACCGGTTAACCTAACTTATCAAATTTCTCACATATAATTATAATAGGCTAATTATACTTTAGAAACAATAGTAAATGTACATTATTTATACTTTCTCTTTTATCCATGTCGATCCGAGATATCAAGTCAAAGATTTTCAGCGTCTCTTTCGCGCGTCGCGATTGCTTAGGAGGAACGATGCGGGAATTAATAATGTGATGCGACGATTAAATCAACTGAATATATTCTTCAATGCAAATTGTACGTGTGAATACATATAGGTTATCGCTCGGATTAATAAACGTGCGTTCGTGCGCGGCGACTTCTCGTTATTAAAAATCTCCTATTTATACCTTGCCTCAAAAACGCTTCTCGCTAGGCTTCGAGAGGCTTCGCGAATTTTCTATTCTCTTTAAATCCGTTTCTCATACTTTTCTCTCGTGTAATATTTAATTTATATTATTTGTGCCTTTGTCCTTTTCGTATATGTCAATGTCCGTATTTACGTATATTCATTTAAAAAATTTCAGGGAAGTATGTGACGATGTAATCGCCACAGATTTTTTTATAATTATAACAATATATACGAACTTCACTTTTGCCGTACTACGTATACTACGTTCCGTCGGTTTTTTGCGGATGTCGCGGATGACACGTGACATAAAAGATTTGTTCTAAATAAGATCTGATGTTCAACCGTCTGTTCTTTTTAATTGAACTGAGTGTTATTATTCTATTTGATTTTTCTTTCCTAAAAAAATGTAAAGATAAATATAATCTTTTTACATATAATTATATTCTATTTTATATACATTAATATTTACAATTTTAAGTAAATAATGCATTAAATCTAACTCAATATATAAATGCAATTATATAGAAATTGCATATATATATATATATATACTTTCTTATATAACGCTGGAGGTAATATATAACTGAATCAAATTGTCTCATCATAATATAGTCATTTTACAAAATATGACACTGATTGAGTTTTCCCTACATAATTACTAATATATCATCTAAACTTTCTAAACATTCACTTTAATCTTGTTTATAATAAATTTCATTATGCACGTTAAAATATATGAACGTCAATATTGCATCATTATTGAATGATCTTCTATTTCAGAGGAGGACATTCACTTTCAGATTTGTTATTGCGCTTTTTAGTTTTCGTATTACGTTTTCTTTTCTCTTTCAACTCTTCATTATTAGAAGTAAGATTGTTTGTACTTTGGCTTTGTTATAAATTCAAGCTGAATTTATAGTAGTAGTAGTAGTAGTAGTAGTAGATAGGTAGTGAGTGGTTCCATGACTAGGTTCCCGACGGCACCTAGATCTAGCGAGATCCATTGTGTCTCCTCACTCTTGTCTTTAAACTGGATGATGTGTACTCAGCCCAGAGTTCTCCACTAGGCTTATGAGTTTCACCACCCTTGTTTTGTCTAATTTTGGGATTTTAGAAAACTTTGTCCCCAGATCCTGAATCTCTTTCTAGCCAGAGCCGGACATTGGCCCAGAATATGTATGCTGTCCTCTTTTTCCTCCCCGCATAGTCGACACTCCTTCCTGTCTGCGAGTCTGATATTGAATAGGTGGGCTTTGAGTATTGGTGAATGTCCTGTCAGCAGTCCTATCCCCATCCTCAATTTCTGCCTATTTCATGTGAGTAGTTCTTTGGTTCTGTTACCATTAATGTCTTTCATCAGGAATTTAGCCTGTCGGCAGGATTTCAGATTTTCCCACCTGGCCTTATGTTTTGTCTATACTGTCCCTGATGAAGTTCTTGCCCATCGTAAAGGGCACTCCCACCTCCCGACTATATGGTGCTTTGCTAGCCCCTTCTCTAGCCAGTGAGTCTGCTATTTCGTTTCCCGGTATGCCCTGATGCCCGGGTACCCAGACTAACGTTACTTTATTTGTTCCACACAGCTCCTCCAGCGCCAGCATGCAGTCTCATACCAAGTATGACTCGGTGGTCGTACCCGCCAACGCCAGAAGGGCTGCCCTACTGTCTGAGCAGATATATATTTTCCTGCAATTTGTTCCCTTGGTTAGATTCAGTTCGGCACATCTGAGGATGGCGAGCATCTCTGCCATAAAGACCGTGCAATCGCCTCCCATTGGGATACTCTCCCTATGGTTTTCCCCAGGTCCATATACTCCTGCTCCAAAGCAATTGTTTATGCCTGATCCGTCCGTGAACCACATGTCCACCTTTGTGTCGTTCTTGTGGTTCTGTCTTGTTTTCCCTCAATAGGGTACTTTTGGAGAAGACCTAGCCTGGTGTGTCCCAGTCCAGTGTTTCTCCATTCCCCTGACATTTCAGGCGGTATGCCGTGGTATTGGCTGATTTTATCACGGCCAAGCCTATTGGCGTAACACTGAGTGCTATTTCAAGCGCCTCTGTGGGTGTGGTTCTCATGGCCCCTACTGCAGCCCTTAGGTAGTTACCTTGCAGGCTTCTAAGTAGTTTCTCCACCTCCCCTTTGTTTATTCTCGTCCACCAGACGACTGACGCGTATAGCAGCCGCGGCAGCAGGACCGCCCTGTACAGCCACAATGCTGCACCAGCGCTGATGCCCCACGACTTGCTCATTGCCCTTCTGCACATCACATGGATGCATAGAACTTTTTCCTTTGCTCTGTGAGATGTTTTCCCCAGCTAAGCTTAGGATCTAGAATCAGTCCCAAGTATTTCACCGAGTTCGTAAACGGTATTTCCTTTTCCCAGAGTTTTAACGTCTCTATGGTTCAGGTTTATATTTTCTGGTGAAGACCATAATATTTGTCTTGCTCGGATTTACCGTTAGACCTCTGTTCTCACACCAGTTTTGCACAATCCTTAAGGTATCCTTTGCTTGGTCCCTTAGTGTGTTGAGAAATGGTCCTCTAACCACAATGGCCACGTCATCAGCATAGCCAAAGGTCGAGAAACCTTTCCTCTGTAGCTCCTTTAGCAGGTCGTCTATCACTAGGCACCACAACAGAGGAGATCAAACTCCCCCCCTGTGGGCAGCCTCTCGTTGGTTTTCCTCTGATGGAAATATCTTGGCACTCCACCGTCAAGCATCTGTCCACTAGCATGTCTTCTATCCAGTCCACCAGTGGTTCTTGTACTCCATGTCTGATCAGTGCCTCCCCTACCACCTCGTGTGAAGTGCTATCAAAGCGCCCTCGATGTCCAGAAATTCCGATCGCATAGCCCTTTGCCTTCAGCTGACTCTCAACTTTGCCTATCAGGTGATGTAGGGCGGTTTCGGTAGACCTGCCCTCCCTGTAAGCGTACTGAGAGTCGACTAGTGGTTGTTGTATTAGAGAGTTGGACTTGAGAAATCTGTCTACCAGTCTCTCTAAGATTTTCAATACAAGGACATAAGGCTAATTGGTCTATAGTCCTTTACCCTGATGTGACCGTTCTTGCCAGGTTTAGGTATAAAAACCACCTTGGTTTCTCTCCACTTCTGGGGGACATGTCTAAGGGCAATACTTGCCCTGTAGATTTTTGTCATTGGGCCTAACAAGCTGCTCAGCCCTTTCTGCAGCAGGATCGGGTATATTCCATCAGGTCCTGGAGCCTTTAAAGGCTCAAAGGAACCGACCGCCCATTCCACTGCTTGTGGATAGACCACTTTAGCTGCCAGTCCCCATGCCCTTGATTTGTGCACGGTCATGGGTCTCTGCCTGTTGTTGTTGTCTGCTAAGTCCTCCCTAAAGCCTGGGAAATAGATTTCCATAAGGTGCCGTAGGATCTCCTCCGCAGTTTCTGTGTACTCTCCATTGGGAAGCTTAAGGCAGCCCCATTGTGTTTGGTTTTCCTTGCAGAGTATTCTACTCAGTCTAGATGCTTCAGGAGCACTCTCTATACTTGAGCAAAAACTTCTCCATCCTTTCCTTTTAGCTTTTACTATGGCCTTTTTGTAAATTCTCTGAGATTTCCTGTACTCCTCCCAGGATCTCGGTGTATTTACATTTCTAGCCCTATTAAAGAGTCTTCTCCCCTCAGCCCTTAGCTTAGCCAGCTCTTTGCTCCACCATGGTGCTTTGGCTGAAGGATTCTTTGACTCTAATGGGCAGTTCATCTCGTATAAGTATTTAATGGCATCATTCAAGTAGTCTGCCGCTGTTTCCAATTTTTCTTTGGTGTAGAATCTAGTGGGTGCTTCCTTGAGTCGACTCTTAAGGTCTTCCTCGTACCCTCTCCAATTTGTTTTTCTAGGATTTCTCATCCATAACCCTTGGCTCTGTACTTGCTCCATGGTGAAACGGACCTGCCTGTGGTCTGATTCTGAGGGCTCATCAGAGACCCTCCATCCCCTCAACAGATCCAATATTCCGCCAGAGCGTATGGTTATATCTATCACTTCCTGTCTTCTAGAGTCCAGGAAGGTAGGTTCTGTTCCTCTATTCAGGATGTATAGCTCCATACCTACCACAAAGTTGAATAGGCTCTCACCCCTGGGATTTATGTCGGTGCTCCCCCACACAGGTGGTGCGAGTTGGCATCGCATCCCAGGAGTATTTCTAGCCTTTCTTCTGCCTTGCATAAGTCGTGAGTTTAGTCACGTTTTCATGTGGGGCAGGTTTTCCAAATCGTAAGGCATGTACACTGACCCTATAATTAGATCCCTGACTATTCCACCGGTCGTCTTTATTTTCAGTCTGATGGCAACAAAGTCACCATCGCTAAATTGTGGCAGTAGACAGGCGTCTATTCCTTTCGCTATAATGCACGCTCTCGGTCGGTCCGTGTTTCCGGCCCAGAATAGTTTTTTCCACAGCTGCCAAGTCCTTTTATATGTCCCTTGATGATCCATGGTTCCTGTATTAAAAATATGTATTTACTTGTGTGCATCACAGCTGCGCACCTGGCTAGTACAGCCGAGGCGCATTTGCTGTGATGCAAGTTAATCTGCGTAAAGTGAATCCGGTCCGCCATATTTATGCTGACGGGTGATTTCTCCTTTGCGCCTCCCTTACTGCTTTCTCCAGCAGGCAACCTGATCGTTGCCTGCCCAAGTCCACAGTAGGGTTTAAAGTTGAGAGCTCTTAACGCCCTCAAAGCCCCATCCCCAACAAGGGCAGCGAAGTGGGTGCTCGTGGCGTCCCTGCTTTCGCTACCCTTCGCGATCACCCAGTCCAGTGACTGGATGCCTACGTTCTGCCTGTCAAGTAGCTCCAACGCTTCCTTGACAGGTATTGTGGGATCCTCTACGTGCACTACGATTCGATGTCTCTTAGGGAGCTCATCGACCCGCAGTGCACGCAGTTCGATCCCATTGATCTTAATTCTGAGGTTAGGCTTCTAAGCCACTCCTCAGTTTCCCTATTTGTGCAGTTAAAGACAACTGCCCCATCCCTATCCGAGGTGCCTCTGAAAGTAGGCGCTTTGGTACCCCTTGCTAAGCAAAGGATACGCCTCCTGACCGCTTCTTTCAGAAGCGATGCCTCGTCTTTTTCCAGTCTTTTGTCAGGGTAAACCAAGGGAACCAGGGCAACCTTTACAAGACCGGAGGTCAATTGGGCAAAAGTCCTTTGGTCAGTTACGATCTTCGGCTTTTTGCCCAACTGAGTGTTACTGGCAGGGCTGGGTGTGCTATGTTCCGATCTGAGTCGCTTTACCGCCCCATAAGAAGCTCGCTCCCCCGTCCTTGGAGTAACTGTCGAAACAGATGTCAGTTCCGAGGTGGGCTTTGCAGCTTCCCCCTTCGCCTCCATCTGCTTCTTTTTTTTATAGCGTCGCCTTACCGCTCCGCTATAACGAATCCTAGCGTTTGGTGGCTGGGCCTTATTTGGCTCCGCCCCCGAATTGCTCGGGCTTTTCTCCTCCAGGTCGTTCGTCACCTAAGGTGGCCACGCCCTGTAGGACTTCCGAAAAGTTTTCATTTTGGCTTGTACTCATATTTGTTCCCACGAGTACCGCGGCCGCGCGGTATCACCTGGGCAGAGCCGCGAATGCCCAGGGCTTGGCTCGATACTCTCGAAGGTCGCCCGGTATCCGAGAGGCACCGTTAGCGACGTAACTCCCCTTACGCCATGCAGCCCTCAGCACGGTTACACACTTTAGCTTGGAGGTTCCGCTTTGTCCGGCGCACACGGTTGCCATCTCCTGAGCGAGCGGCCCTCGCGCGCCCCTCAAGCCCCTCCACCCGCCCCAGCAGCCGGACGAGCCAGGGGGGCCCAGGCTAGTCGGTCACACCCCTGAACGGGTGATATCCTTCCGCCTCGGACCCCCCCCCCCACCCCATCAGCCGCGGGACTTCGTCAAGGTGGGAACCCATCGGGGGGAATGAATCTATAACTGAGAAACTTAATTTGGGATGATGTAGAGACAGGCACTCATTAAAATTAACCAAAAATAGTCAATTATGTATAACGCTTCACTATTTATTTGAAAGACTATTGTCGCAATCTTAAAATGAGTCAAATTAAAAACATAATAATACACTTGTAATAATTTTTATCAATTCAATTGTGTTATACTGAAAAAAGTTATGAATAATAGTAAAGATATGGTAGATGGTTCACAAATGACAAAATATTAAAAATCTTAAAGAAACTACTGTAATAAATAATCGTTGAATCAAGAATACAAGTAACAAACACTTAATATACTGACGTCTTAAAAATTAGATGTATATATATAGACAAGAGTTGTTGAAACAAGAGTAAGTGTAAACCATGAATTCTAATCACTAATAATACTTAAAGAACGAAAGACTCAAGCAGTAATGCATAAACAAAATGAATCATAAGTAACGCACACTGATTATACTGACGTGTTAAAAATAGAAGTATATATATAGACAAGAGTAGTTGAAATAAGCATAAGTAAACTATAAATTCTTATAATTGAATAGTAAGTAAAGAAAGAAAGACGCAATATGTAATATATATCAAGGAAATGAACATATGAGATTGATCTCTCTATCGAGAGACAAGAATTGTAACCAAGACATATATATGTAAACAAGAGGTGATGAAAAACTTATATAAATATATAAATGCTTATAATTAAATAGTAATTATCGAAAGAAAAACGCAATGTGTAATACAAATAAAAAAAATAAAACATATGAGATGAATATCTCAATCGAGAGGTCAGAATTGTTCCCAAAAACCTCAGGATGAGAAACCATAAAACATGTTATATAAATCAGTCACGTCATCATAATACAACAAAGAAAATGACTTGATAGACAGAATTGAGATGGGCTTTTGGATGTTCGTACGATGAATCTCCTCAGATTAGAATTCCTTACATGAATCTAAGAAGAAAGAAATATCACTTCATCGCAGAACGAGATCTACTAACCAGAAGCCCTCGTACTCGCCTTTAATTGAGCTTTTTTACTTATCTTGAATGATCCGTTTGAGATTTACTACGTGCGCAGTAGGCCACGCCTTTGAGAATATTCAATCGCCCTCGATCCTCGGTACTTTTGAAAAGGCCTTAGATTTGTCTCAATTGAGCAATCCTTCTTGAAATATTTGGCAAGTGGTCTTAAGGGGATGCCGGAGCGTTGGCCGAACTCCGACGGATTAGCGCCCTCATTTGAAAGGAACTAAAATTGTCGATAATTACCGACAATTTTAATCCGCTATTATTGACAGTAATATATATATGTCAAAAACCCATTTTAGTGTGTTCACATATTGAAATCAGACAACATAATATATTTTTACTGTCAAATCATCTCGCACACGCATCTAAGCGTGTCAATGACAATAAAACATACATTATAAATGTGGTCTCTTTATGACATAGTTGAACACAATTTTAATATTGCTCTTTTATATATTTTGATGATATATGATATTTTCATGTATTTTTCAAAGGAAATATACAATCTACCATATATATAATATATATATATATATATATAGATATAATATATATACAAGGTGGTTCAAAAGTCCGGTAACGGTCAATTATGTTCAAGAAATAGTGTCTTATGAATAAAATATAAAAATTGCAGAATTCAACCCGGAAAAATTTTTTATATATAATTATATCTAAATAAATATATATAATTATACATAATTATATGTGAATATGTTTATTTTAATATATAATTAAATTTATTATATATAAATTATGAAGTTCTGTATAATCTCATGTCAGTTATATATGAAACATTATATATATTAAATATATGT